GCCCTTGATGTGGGTTCATTTGTCAGTTACACCCAAAAAGGTCATAGAGCCTTACTATCAAGCCATAGCTGACCTTATAATTCTTGGCAGAAGTCAAGGAAAGTGTTACTTTGGTAAAGAACCAGATGTTATTATACTGCCTTATACCCAAGAACAGATTGACTGGCTTATGCAGACAACTGACTTCTGGCCCATTGCCCTTACTTCCTACACAGGACTTATAGATAATCATTACCCTTCAAATAAGCTTATTGAGTTTGCCAACAGACATGCATTTGTTTTCCCCACAGTCACGACAATGAAACCGTTAAAGGACGCATTGTCGGTTTTCACTGACGGCTCCTCATCAGGTATGGCCGCCTATGTTTACCAGGATAGAACAGTAGCTTTTCAGACAAACAGTACATCGGCCCAACTGACTGAACTACACGCTGTCGCTGCAGTTCTCTCTGCCTTCCCTACTAAACCCCTCAACATATATACAGACAGCGCATATATTGCACAGTCTATACCCCTATTAGAAACAGCAGGCCAAATCAAAAGTGTCTCTGATACTGGAAGGCTATTTAAACAGATACAAAAGCTTATTAATGAAAGAACTCACCAATTTTTTATAGGGCACCTTCATGCTCACTCTGGGCTACCAGGACCCCTGACTGAAGGTAACCAAAAAGCAGATTTGGCCACTCGAACACAATCCACTCTCTATGCATTGGCCAATGTTAATTCCAGTGGCTCTGATGAAGGCATCACCAGGGCACAAAATAGCCGTCAGCTTCATCACCTCAATGCCCAAACCCTTCGGCTTGCACGTAAAATCACCAGAGAGCAGGCCAGACAAATAGTCAAAAATTGTCCCTCCTGTGCCATACACCTCCCAACTCCCCATCTTGGAGTTAATCCTAGAGGATTGATCCCCAACGCATTATGGCAAATGGATGTCACCCATATTCCTGAGTTCGGTAATCTAAAATATGCTCATGTGATTGTGGATACCTTTAGTGGCTTCATTTTCGCCTCCCTCCAAACTAGTGAAGCCACCAAACATGTAATCAGGCACATGCTCACTGCCTTGTCCGTCTTAGGGTGCCCACAACAACTAACAACTGATAATGGCCCAGGCTACACTTAGCTCTGCTTTCGCTCATTTCTGTCAACACCTCAACATTCAGCATATAACAGGTATACCCTATAACCCTCAAGGTCAAGGTATAGTTGAAAGAGCCCATCTGTTCTTGAAACTCACAATTGATAAAATAAAAAAGGGGGAATGGTACCCTATCAAGGGGTCACCTAGAAATATTGTATCTCACTCCTTATTTATCCTTAACTTTTTAAATTTAGACAGTAGCGGACAGTCAGCCGCCACTCGTTTTTGGCATACTGAAACTCAAAAACAATATGCCTCAGTATTATGGAAAGACCCTTTGACTAATTCATGGCACGGTCCAGACCCGGTACTCATCTGGGGTCGGGGATCAGTATGCATTTATTCCAAAAAAATGAAATCTGCAAGATGGCTACCAGAGCGATTGGGTAAGCAAATAGATCAAGTCCAAAAAATAGAGGATGATATCACTGATGACTCCAGGGACAAAAAGGATCCCTGAGAGAAATTTCTTGTTTCTCTTTCAGATAATGGGATCAAGGATCTAGATCATACTACTGGGACTAATGACGATGATACTGATGACTTCGTATGGCGGTTTTGGATCCCTTCCTAATAGGGAAGAACTCCTGAAGCTCCATGCTCAGGAACGCTGCTGCTTCTATGCAATCAAGGAGCGTCTGGAATGAGATCTTGCCTTACCTCCTCCCCCTGTTTGGGCCTTTGCTTGGGCTGCTGATTTTGCTTTCGTTAGCCCCTTTTCTCTTTAACAAATTGATGACTTTTGTTAAACAACAGGTGGATGCTATAAATATACAACCCATACAGGTCTATTATCACAGGCTTGAGATGGCTGATAGA